TGGTTTACTATATTTAAATACGAAGTTTTAATTATAACTAACTCATTATTTAATTTCAAGAATAAATATTTTAAATATAAAAAAAAAACATGTATACTAAATTATAAATTCCGTTCAACTATATAGATTAAAAGCTAATTCATTCCGGTATGTTTTTTTCTTGATGGTATTATTTATGTTAATCTTGATTTGTTGGCTACTCATCATATAAATAAATTTATACACAATTTACAAAAAATGTGTAGGTATATTTCGAGTTTACTTCTAAACCCATCGTCAGCCTCTGTTAACAACATAATTATATAATTAATTATATATTTAATTAATTAATTAATTTTTAGTTCACTTGCTACTTTTACATACATTATGTAACAATTTGTATTCACTCGTTAATAAAATACTTAGCCCTTTTATCGAATTGCCCATATGGTAAATAAGCTTTACCGTAGGTCTCATTGTAAGATAGTTTATTTACTTATGTTGTTAACAGAGGCTGACGATGGGCTTAGAAGTAAACTCGATATATACCTACACATTTCTTGTAAATTGTGTATAAATTTATTTATATGATGAGTAGCCAACAAATCAAGATTAACAAAAGATTAAAAGCTACTTAATAGCTGAAAACAAGTCAACTTAGCAGTATAAAATTATATTTAATTATTATTAGATAAGTAGAACCATATTTTTAGATAACAAAACAGTAAAGCTTGTCAAAATATAAGTCCCAAATTGAAAAAATATGCCGTTTTTTTCTATAAAATTATAATTTATAACTACTCAAATTTGACGGGTTTTTATTTACTAGGTTATAAATACTTTCAAAAGTGGAATCCTCTTTTTTTTACTATATTGATCATTGATCAGCTGTTTGGGAAAATAGTACTACGAAAGATATTATCCATTTTGGTTTGGATACAATTATATTAAGCTCTAAATAGATATCCAATTTTAATTTGTGATCCATGTAAAACCAAGCTGGAAAGTCATGAATACATTTCTTTAGGAGTTAAAATATTAAAATATAATTCAAAGGTAAATACAATATTCTCCGGTGAGTGTTTTTACTCCAGAGAGCTGTTCACACTCAGGTAAAATTATTTACAGCCTTTCCACTGGAGAGCGCTTGTTCACAGAATTTTAATGGCGAGCTCGTTGACTTTCACCACGACAACGTTTGGGTTGGAACGTAAAACAAATCGGTCCTTTACTCTTCTAAAGTGTAAAGTTCTTATGGCTGTGTGATATTCATACCATTTCTGTTACTGTTTACGGTTCGTTGTACAAGCGTTTATTTAGGTAAGTTGTATATAGGTGATATTTTGTAATTTAGTCTAGGCAGGATTATTCATTAAACTTATGATTTAAATATTTATAATGATTTAGAGTTTGTGTTGGTACTTCTAAACTAAGATATTTCATTGGTGTTCAAGATATAAAGATATTAAAACAATATATTTTCTAGTAATCCCAATTAGATGTCCCATTACAGTTATTGATTGCATCATTATCTTTTTTTTCGTCAGCATAACCAGATAACCACATAAAAATAAACAATTGTCTAATTAATCTTTGTTTTATGTTGCTTAACGTACTAGACATTAGAAGTTGTGTGCGTAGTACGTTGTCTTATAAAGGAGGATGTGTACCAAAGTGTAGGCATATGTTTTACCAAGGTTAATATATTGTTTGTTGCATGTCCTTATTAATGCAACAAAGTGGTTTTAATCACTTTCAATGTTTCGCTTCATTAAAACTGATTGAGCGATGAAAGCATTGCGTGATCAATTTAACTCAAACGATATTGTATAAACAGATAATTGACCAGTAGGATTTGGATGAATAACTGTTATGTATGTAGTAAAACATATAATTACATCAGTTACATTACTTATAATCAAATACGATGTATAGGATTTTTGTTTGTTTCTATTGTAGGCTATATTACATTAAACTTACTATCTAACCTAAGTTAAAAACATGTAAAACAATCTTTAGTTCCTACATTAGGTTAATTAGGGAGTTTAAATGCTTAAGCCATTTTAATTTTTTATTTACCAACAACCAGCTAAGGTTCTGAATGGTTTAAAACACTTAAAATAAATAACATTTGTTTTACAACAGTCGCAAACAAGATCTCCGTGTTTAACTTATTATAATTCAATTTCCCTTCTATTGTTTGTTACAGTTATTTTATTTAGTGTATAGTATTGCACACACTACTTAGCTGTTGTAATACATATTTTCTTAGAGCTATTTTATAGTTAAAAGAATGTAAATTGCCATGCAATTTCGCTGGTATTTACTTTCCATGCAAAACCAAATGAACAAGCAAAAAAGGGGTTTAAAATAGCAATCGGAGATAACGAAGTTATTCTAAACACAATAACGTAGTGGACGTGTGTTTTGTTCTAGCGATTTCAATCATTTTGGGAACTGTATTTGATTAATGATGTTACCATGTGATGCACGACTTTTATTTTTCATTCCTAACGTTGCTTTCATTCGGGTTCTAAAAACGCTATTTGGTGTTTGTTTTCATTTTACTATTAAAACGAAATATTAAAATTGAATAAGTTTCCTAGCTTAATTTTGTATCAGGGTATGCTTTGCCTAATCACTATGCTGAAATAATAAAAGCGTGTGTATTGAATTTAATATACTTAATAAGATGACCATTACTTGCATTTACGAAATTAAAATAAGTATATACACTTAAAATAAACGAGTAAATGCTAACAATCTTCCTTTGCTCTCTGCTCGTAACAAAATTACAAAATAGCTTGTCAGTGCAATTTACATCATATTTACTGACATATTACCCTGAGGTGAGTTTCTCAAACACACAACTCTTTCCAAAGTTACAAACATAATGGTATAAAAAGTACAACATTTTTTTAATAGTGATAGTAATGTCCAGAATCACAAAAATATATATCCAATTTATATCTCTTACTTTGACGATTTAAATTATTTGTTTCGTACGCTCAGTACGAAACAAATAATTTAAATCGTTACATTATGTCAACATTATCGTGTTATCGCAACATTATGTAAAACGTCAATTATAATCGTCCTTTTTGGTTATTAGAGCTTTCTTTATTTTGTGTTTAAACTAAATTCAATACAAATCCGAAATGCAAATTTCCATGTCTTGGACAAACCTCTATTAGTATAAAGAAAGCGAAGAAGCATTTTTGAATACACTTACATTGGCTATCTTACGACTCTGGCCTTGATGGTATTATATTGTATTTCGAGTTTAAGTTCTTAAGAATATAAAATGACAAAGGGAATAGGTCTCGTTTAGTTAATTTCAGGAACAGATAATTTTTCATACATTTTGCACCTTTTCTTGCATTATAGCTGGATTAATTTATTAATTCATTCTCTTCAACTATAAATGATTACCAAGAATAAATTACTATCATAACTTTCTCAGAGAGACCGTATATGTTTGAATCATATACTTGTGTACCGTAATTTTCTAATCAAACTATAAAATCACATTAGCACTTAATGCACATTATGCCTTCAGCATTTTTAGTTCACTTGCTAACTTTACATACATTATGTAACTATTTGTAACCAGTCGTTAATAAAATACTTCTTTTATCAAATTGCCCATACGGCGAATAAGCTTTACCGTAGGTCTCATGGTAAGACCTAGATCCGGAATCAATTGTTTTTCTTCCTCCAAAGACCAAAAACGCGACCTTTTCATATATACTTTATTGTATCCATTAGTATGATAACTCGAGTAAAATCATCCCATTTCGATTAATTCTGTACAAAATTACATTATCTGAACTAGAGTACTCTAACCAGCATGATCGGACATTGGGAATGGGGTTAATGGGGATTTTCTTTTTGGAGTAAATATTTTTGTTTGCAATTCTTAACCTTTTAAAGATAAACATCCAAATTATTTTGTAAACCCTAAAATCAAATAATGTAGTATACTAAAACGGTGATTTTTTCTTGATCGTTACAGGAAAATTCCAAATAAAACTGTAAAATCAAAACAATCCATGTTGTTCTTATGGATAATAAGTCAACTGTGGTACTTGCTTATAGTTTGATCTTATTTGACGGATTAATTAATTGCACATTGGCCTATTGACATTTCAATAAAAACTTTATTTAAAATAGGTTTCCTGTGACAGCAAATCTAAGTTCCCATAAACCTAATGTGTTAATATGGAGAATAAATTTTATATTTTTATTGATCACACAAATGGAAATTCACGTAGATTTTACTGTTGTGAAGTTATTCGATTTTACAAAGTTTTGTAAAAAAATGCAATTAAATTACTGGTTTTGTCTAAGTGTATTTGAGTGCTAATATTGTTGAGAGTAACTTGCGTATTGCGTATTAACAAATATATATATATATATATATCGTTAACCAAATTGTGTATAGGCGTTAGACAATAATCCACCACTAAATGTATCATTTATTTATATATCGAGACAGATCGATCAGCTACTGCGTCAGAGACCGATTTTGCGCAACATGTAACATACGAACCCTTTATTGCCCCTGTTGATGCTATAAACGACTGAACAAAATAATAGTTGTTTTATCCGAGTATACACCAATCATGTTATTACTAACCCTTGGCCTTAATAATACGATGTGTTGCGATAATAATGAAGACAAACAATCATGGAAAGGTCAAGCCGTTGTTTTGAGTAAAAATAAATTGTGAGTAAAGCATATTATGATAAACAATAAGACCTATTAATAAATAAGACCTTGCATTGATACAAAGCATTACATTTGTAATCATTAGATATATTTATTATTTATAAGACTGTTTTTTCCGAATGAAATGTTTTATCAAATCTATCTTCTTGCGTGATAATAGTAAATAAGCTATACTGCACATCCAAATGTTTATGAACAATCAGCGCATTACTACCCAGCAGTTTGTTCACTGACTCGCTTATTTAGAGATGCCATTGTTGTATGATTATTTTTATTATTGATGTTTCAGTGGCAATCATGGACATCCAGGCGGTGGAGGGCAAGAGAGTGGAACTACCCTGCAACGTGACACCACCAGGCCACGACAAACTCTACATGGTGCTATGGTTCAAAGCAGACGCTGGGATACCTCTTTATAGGTAATTGAACGTACACGTCGGTTCTACTGCTTACACAAACAATAAAGGATATATTTCAAGTATTCTAATAATGCATAATACAATTTGCCTTTTGTCAGTCTCTAAGATGAATGTAAATATATTGACTTTTGGGTCTGGATGTAACACATGTTTTGGAATTTTATAATATTAACATTGTGCTCGATTATTGTTGGTTAAGCTTTTTTCCTGCTAGAATAGAATCAAACTGTTGTCTTCAATTTGTTTTTTATTTAATTTTTTTTTACAAAATATTTATCTCTATCTCTCCCTTATAATACTGTATTCTTTATAAATATTAATTAATTTTTGAACCCCAAGATTTTTTACACCTGAAGTTTTGTAGCTTAAATTAGCAGAACTATTTAAAGGTAAACCTCCTAGCAACATTTAAATATCATTGCTGAGGTATACGTGCTCAAAAATTAATAACATGATCTCAATTTTGTTTAGACAGTTATTACATCGCTTCGAAAGCAATATTTTGGCCGTTTGATCAGCAAAATAAGTGCACTGGGCCTTTGGCATGTTATCGTATATGACTCGTCGAAGCCACTAAACCTGTGCTTGTTTATGTTTGCATGTTTGGGCCCAAAGCCAATATCTTGGTGGATTAAATATTGACAGCCGCGAGATTGCCCTCAGGCCGAACCTTTCCTCCAATAAATACACCTCAAACTCCGTCTTCTTTACTCTACAATTCATCGTTTTCTGCTTAAAAAGTAAATTAGTATTTAATAACAATAATACATATAACTATATTTAACTATATAACTATATTTTACTATATATAATATATTGAACTAATTAAACATGTTTGCATGACTGTAATACCAACGCAAATTATATAGCACAGCCAATTTCGTTGAGTCAAATATTTCAGCCAAACAGTAAAAAGCGCCACACTTGTGAAGAATTAATTACGAGCGTCGTGGTGCTGCCGTAGTGTTGCTTAAATGAATAACTGGATTTCCCAGATTTATTTCTCCGCGGTTTTTATAAAGATATAATGAATTTTATGAACAATGAAGCTCTACAGAATATAAAGTGTCTCGATTTTAAATTCAAAACTGTGTTTGAAATTAAATTAAATTTAATATGTTTTCTCAATTAATTCTGGTTGATTTAAATTGTTTATAAGTGAGATACTGACATTACGAAAGAATTTAATTTTATGCAGAAAATAAGGAATAGGCTACATCATTTTACTATGCTTCTACTTGATTTTAAGAAAATAAATCTATTTGGCTCAATAATATCTTGGCGTGACCTAGATAAAATATAGTTCAACTCTATTTACATTTTAAAATGTATTAATTGTTTTGGTGTTATAAAAATTAACTGATAAACTTTACTTTTTTTGCTAATGAAAGAAACACAATATCCGCATACACAATGTATTTATATACACTTTGTGTAGAGTGTATTAATCTGTCAAATTTGAAAGCTAGAAGTTGTTATGAAGCTTTCTTACAGGGACAAATAATAAAATAGCTAATTACCTGTATTTTAAATAACACTATAAGATATATTCAGAGAAAGTTGGTTTAGTGATACACTGCAGTTGTTTCTGTTAATACGTACCTAATCAATTTGGTTTATATATACAGGCTGATAAAAAGTCTGGAAACGGCTTGACATATTTTTAACTAAACTCGTTAGAAAACTCAAACCTTTCACATCTACCTATATGTATGAAAACTACTTTTTGTAAGCATTCCAATTTTTTTAACCTTCAACAGGGGACGCCCATGTGGAGTAGGAACATGATCTTTAATGTGAGCGTAGGTTAATATGGACATAATTTTAAAGGTCTGGTCAGGTGGAGTTCATTGTTGGAAACCGCGTCAAAAAAGGTTTATTCATTAGAAAATGGCTGCAGTCCAAAGTTAATGCGGAATATACCTGCACAGGCCTTAGTATTGGTAAATACTCATATTCAACATTAGCCGGGGATCTGAAAACCGGTTAAATTAGTTTTGAAGATTGAACAAACTTAGTTTATGAGCTAGTTGACTTTAAAATACAATTTCAGCTCTCAAGCTAATGTTTAATACGAGTATTTACCAATACTAAGGCCTGTGCAGGTATTTTCCGCAACATCTTTGACTGCTGCTTTTTTGTAACGGGTGAGCCTTTTTGACGCAGTTTCCGGCAATAAACTCCACTTGACCAGGCCTTTAAAATGATGTGCATATCAACCTATGCTTACATTAAAGATTATGTACCAACTCCTCATGGGCCGTCCCCTGGTGATGGTAAAACAATTTTAATGCTTGCAAAAAGTAGTTTTCATACATGTAAGTTTATGTGAAAGGTTTGAATTTTCTAACGAATTTAGTTAAAAAGATAATAAGCCGTTTCCAGACTTTTTTGTCACCCAGTATATGTATAGTATAAAAAAGGGAGTTAAAATAGGGTTGTCTTCCAATGAAGTTGTTAACAAACTCCCCTTAAGTGTTATTATTATTATTATTTATAAACCTCATGAATCATTCTAAAACTATTGTGGCCATGCATGCACGCGCATGTGTGTGTGTGTGTGTGTGTAGACGAGACAATTTAGCTTGTGTCATTACCGTGACATACTCTCACTTTGTGCTATCTTGAGTGGAATCTGGGGAGGCTTTGTGTAGAGAGTCAGTAATGGAGTCGCTGTTCCCCGCTCTATCTCACATGTTATATAGCGGACATGGTAGCTGCAATCTGGAAAACGCTTTGATATATACTAAAATAAATAAATACATTAGTAGTTAAACAGTACATGGAATTTTTGATTATATCCCTTACCAGTTTCAATATATTTTGCTGCTGACAAAAGTTTGTAAAAGTGCAGGTTATTTAAGGACAATAATTGAGTTTTGGACTTTATAAGAAACAATTTTTAGTCTAAATTTACTGTATCAATGTCAAGTTGTGATTCAAAATTGAAAATAGAAATATTTTAAACTGTAAAAATGTTAATCAATTACTTAACACACAGGTATTAAAATTTAAATATTCTAAAGGAATCTAATATAATTTCACTGGTGATCTTTTCACACTGTGATTTTTAAATAAATTGAATGTCAAAAAGCACATGAGTTTTATCTGCCAGTTAATATTATACTTATGGTTTACGTAGTAACTATTCTCACTAGCTTACGGTAAAACCGCATAACGAATTAAAAAAATTAATGGATATCGTATTTTTTTACAAAGTGAGTCTTCGGTTTCCTTGTTCATTCAAGCCTTCCATTGTGTTTATCCACGATATACTTGTATTTATATTAAACTTAATTCAACTGAAGAATTATGAGTTTTAGGACTAGACCTAACTGTGTATTATGACGTGTATACTCATGCAAAAACTTATTGTTTTATTATAAAATAATATTAAGAAAACATTGTAATATGAATATAATGTTGCCAAAAAAAAAATACTTAGAGTAGTTTAATGGTAGTAGCACACACAAATAAGGCGTGTACGTACGTTAACCGATAACTGTGTATTTACAGTTTTGACATGAGGGGCAAGCCGGCGCACCAGGCGCGTCACTGGTCCGCCAAGGAAGTGTTCGGTGACCGCGCTTTCTTCCGCACAGGTCCAGAGCCCGCCATGCTGGTGCTGGAAGGCATCAGAAGACATGACGAGGGCCTCTACCGCTGCAGAGTCGACTTTAGAAACACACCAACGCGCAGCTTCCGATACAACCTCACCATTGTCGGTTGGTACACATACTAGAGCAATTCTGTTTAGTATAACATTGTGTATATATTCTTAACTTTAGTTTTGTTATTTTTTACTACTATCTGATTTCAAGCTTTTGTTAGATAGTCTATTTTTTTCGTAGCCAAATACAAAACTTCATCCGGTACCTACAAAGAAACATCTCACTTTTAGTGTCGTACCAGTTGCTCCCCTTTGAAGACGAGCACTATAACCACTTAACCACCCAGACAAATGATTAACATTTATGGTTTAACTAGGTGTAAAATGCAGTTGTCTGCTCGCAATATTGAGCGGAGCAAGCATATTAACCCAATACTTTTCCAAAGTAAATGTTACATCTGTTTTATGTAAAATGGGATGACTACTTGCAGTATCTGAAGTCAATGGTTCATCTGGTTCACATCAATTAAATGTCTACTTGCAGTACCAAAAACCAATTGATCATAATCCTAATTTTTTATTCATTCTATAGTAAATAATGCTCAACAGTATCAATCCGATTGTTCTTCCCTTTTGTTATCTTTTTTGTAATGTGCTGGTTTAGATGATTTATTGATAAACATATGTTACGGATTTTGTTTACCTTTTGTATTGTTATCTTGCAAATACTGTAATGGCAATAATTAACCCATAAGGCCCATGTAAAATTTTGAATAGTTTTAATTCATTTAGGCAAAAGCCCTGTTGTCCGATTTGCACCATTACAGATTTATACCTTCCCATAGTTGGTTACTATCTCTGTGATAAATTTCGTGCTGATCCCATCAGCCGTTAAGGGGAGTATTTGTAAAACGAAATCGGGAGTGTAGTATAAGAGCTCCACTCAATAAGACGAATTTGACTAATTATCTTAGGGTAAGTGATTAGTTGAAATCATAATAATTTCATAAAGTAATACCCTTAAGGACTTTATTGATTAAACAACTACTGAAACAGGTAAGAATACATACTGAAACCAGTCGCCATTAAAACATACATAGTTTTCTTAAATCCCCTGAAAATTTTGATATTTCCTTGTTGTTAAAATAATCTATTTTAAGCTTAATTGGATGATAATATAGTCACAAAACCTTAGGGTCTTTTTTAGACCTTTGATAATCTCAAAGACTAAATGTAATGCTGTTGTCAGTGCCTTCTTAAAAACCCAGCATAAATGGGGGAATAATTAAGCATATACATAGTAATAGTAAAGAAGGGGCACGAAGATTTGCAGTCAAGTATAATAATTAACAGCAATAGTTTATGCGATAGCAGTAGTTATGCTGACTCAGTGTTGAGTTTCTAGGTTACATAGCAACGGCGCTGAAACTGCTGACGAAGTGTTGGGATCTAAAGCTCCCTCATGAGCTAGACACACTGATGTATGAGTTTTATGTGTTCAGTGCCCCCGGAGTACCCGGCAATCTTTGACCGCTACGGTCGTCAACTGAATGGCACTCTGGGACCCTACAAGGAGGGTGACAACGTCAGTCTGACTTGCCGGGTTGTTGGCGGTGAGTATTTGATAAAACCGTTGCAGAGTACCGTTCACTAAAAGCTAAACCAATTTAAATTATTTTACATCATATTACACAGACACAGGTACTTTTCCATCCGTATTGATAGGCTTGAAAGTTGCCCTTTACCATGCCCACATACGGAAAGTAACGCAGGCCTAATGTACTTTTACCGAGCACTGCATCGGAAGAGATTTTTACCCTGCACTTAGTCACCTGGTGAAATAAACAACTAACTGAAACAGCCTATTTTATTTTATAAAATATAAAAATATTATAATATATGTTATGTTCTAAATAAATTGTGTTATGAATTTAAAATGTAATATTTTTTTCACCACACTATGATGTTTTTGGCTGTATTACATACGTTAATTGGTGGCTGAAAGTTACGTTTTGCTGGCCATGCCAGCTGTCATCGTAATTTGGGGACCGAGCAGGTTTTTACAGGCCGGGGCCGCAAAATCAGCTGTCCGCTTACTTACTTAAAACCACTGAGCTATATATCTCAATGCTTAAAACATGAATGTATTTTAAATACACAATCAAAATCCATAGCATTGCAATAGAATTGTTACTGTCACCGTTGCCTAGCAACTATTTATTTTTATTTTTGCTGATTCCTCAAATTATTTCTTCACATAACCTTAAAGTTGTAGTTGTGTTGACTATCAGTGTGCATTATTATAGTGGTGAATAGTGGTAATTAGGTAGTGTGGTGAAAAATAGCGTTCGCACCACGGACCGAAATGGTTTTGCAGCTCTCGATCGATTTAAGTTCTCGACTTCGACTCGAACTTAAAAACTATCTCGAGCCGGCAAAACCTCATTTTCGGCCCTAGGTACGAAATATACTATTCTTCATAGTATGATGTAAAGTATAGTACGTTACTCGCCCGGTAAGCTTTACCTTACTCAAAAATTCCGCACCTTAAAACACCACTTACCGGGCTAGTAACTCAATATACTTTACATGATGTCACGACCCTTCAAAGTTGAGGTATGTAAAAGTATGAAGGTCACAGTTGTTAATTGTAATTTCACAGTAGGCTGAAAATAATTAAAAAAGAAATAATCGAATACTGCTGCTCAATATCAGGTGTATTAATCAGTGTTTTGAGTTTCTTTTTTTTATTCATGGATACAAATTAAATACTACTGACCTAATTACTAACAACCAGTGACGCAATACTTAAAAAAAATTGCCAATTTAATTTATTTCAATATGAATGTGACATTATATACACTAGCTGTTACCCACGGGCTTCACCCCGTTTGACTTCATTAAACATTAATATAGCAATTGATTGGTCAAGTTAAGCTGAAATAAACAAAACAGAATACAGAAATACAAACAAATAAACACACGTAATTTTAATAAGGTAATAAATTGAAAGATTATGGATTTTCCTTGCTACCTTTATTTACGTGATGTAACTAATGCTATAGTTCGACCGCTTAGAAAACGACCTGCGCGCTAATGCTAAACCAATGCTGGAGGAGGTCGCTTTCTAAGCGGCCGAACTATACTATGATATTATGATATAATTTGTCTAAAATATCAGTAGAATATTTATATATTAACATATGAGTTTTTAAAATTTAACTTTACTCCACATTTCATCAAAACGGCAGTAAAATATCATTTCGCCAAGAGTTTTATACACCAATGTTCAAGCAATTCAAGATAGGGTAAAGTAAGGGTAAATAGTGCTCTTTATTTTCTGCGCATATATCAATTGAATACACAAAGATTTACCCATTACACCATCATTACTATAACTAGTACTAAAATTTGAAGTAAATTACGTTGATGTTCATTTTAAGCTACTGCACCCACCGTATCAACAGCGTCACTCGAATGTACCTTGGCTTGCAGGGCGGCCGGAGCCTACTGTACGATGGCTGGTGAACGGCCAACTGGTGGACGACGAGTATGAGCACAACTCCGGTGACGTCATCGAGAACAGACTAACCTGGTCATCCATCACGAGGAAGGACTTGGAGTCCGTGTTCAGCTGTCAGGCGAGCAACACGAACCTGACAGATCCCCGGGAAACGTCCCTAGTCCTAGACCTCTTCCGTGAGTGTAGTAACAACATCATTATTGTGTTAAGAGAATCAAAATCAAAACATCAATGAAAGGGGATGAATTTGCTATATAGGAATTATTGTGTACCAATAATTAGAAGTATTTAATTTTAAAATTTGTTTGAAGTTAAAGCCTCGCTGTGTTACTCGAGATGTATGAATGGAATATAGATAGTGTTTTGTTTGTTGCAGTCAAGCCTCTTACTGCTAGAATCCACACATCCAGGTCGCCCCTGGTGGCTGACATGTCGTACGACATTATTTGCAACTCTGCGGGATCCAGACCACCAGCTGTCATCACGTGGTACAAGGGAAAACATCATCTCAAGAAAGCCAAGGTTTGCTTTGCCATGCATGTAGTTTACAAAGACCTGAAGATTTTCAAATTAGGTTGATTGAAATTATAATAAATGGTTTCATTTTAGAATTGTAGCCGTATAAAAGAACAAGGTCAAAAATGTGTTGGTTGAATGTATATTTCTTGATTTATCTTCTACGTCATTAGAAAAGTGTTAGTTTTTTTTATTGTTTAAACCCTATTATTTTTACCATCCAGACTGGACTTTTGTTAAAAAGCATACATACAACCCATGGCTTAACAATTAATCTACAGAACGATTAATCCTAAGGCCATCCTAAGTACAAAACCAATCACAATACGGATCGAAACAGGAACATTAAGAATCAAAGGCATGTTTAATATACCGAATACAAATGTTTAAAGTTATTAGTGTCATTAACGAAAATTACAATTGTGGTTTGTATACATGTTGCCGATGGGGAGACATTAGGTAATACGGTTTGTAGGATTAGTGTATTGTTACGATTACTTCTAACGAAAAGAAACATTTGCTAATTAGGCCTATATAAAAAGCACACTAGAAACATAGGTTGGTTCTCGTATATATCATAGTATGACCCTTTGTATATCATATGCATATACTATCTTCGTATGACTGGTTGTGCAATGTACAGGAGGAGGTGAGAGATAACCAGAACGTGACGACCAGCATGATGACGTTCGTGCCGACGACGGAGGATGACGGTAAAGTGATCACCTGCAGAGCTGAGAACCCCAACGTGACAGGACTGTTCTACGAGACAACCTGGAACATCGATGTTGTATGTAAGTGGAGATGTAATGTAACCTACTTTGTGGCACATGTCACAGCTTTATGTTGTTTGTAGAAAATAATGACACTCTTTTATGACACCCCTTGTATCGTGAATTTCGTTCAACTAAACAAGTATTGCATTTGCATTTTATGATAAATTGTAGGAAATTGATACCGTAGTAGAATATGTGGGAATTCAATATCTACAGTAAATCAGAATATTATTGGTCCTTTCACAACTCAGAAACGCAGATAGAAATTCCAAACTTATCATATTATTATATTATTATGCATGCACTTACACTGCTATAGAGCATGCACACAACTTTACTAGTTTTAAAAGATGTAGACTATCACCCGCGTATTGGAAATTTATAAATATTAAGATCTACTACACCACATCCTAATTGCTACAGGTAAATGATCCTGGAAGTGTTATTAAAAGTAATGTTTCTTTTGTGTTCTTTTTGTCATTTTATATTATTGGAAGTGTGTAGTTAGTGTGTTGTTTAAGTGTTTCGATAATAACATAAATTTGAATGCTTCATGTAGATAACTGTCCAGTGACCAAATTCTTTACCCGTACCAGCGATATGGTAGTGTCTCTACAGTATTCTGTAGCCGTGTGTCAACCTTGAGTGCAGCAGTAAATTTCTAATGTTTAACTTACTATAATTATAATGAAACGTTACTAATGTACACCAAATACATGTTTCTAGACCCACCAATAGTGTCGCTACGTCTCGGCAGCACATTGAACGCATCTGATATCAAGGAAGGTGACGATGTCTACTTCGAGTGCCATGTACGAGCCAACCCACCATGGAGACGTCTTACATGGCTACACGATGTAAGCTGTCTGGTGTTGGCTTCATCCAGTTTATGTTTTATTCCATGTTCGTTTCACAACAGATCATAATTTTAAACACAGAACGTTTAGCTGATCCATATAAGGCCTTACTAAGAATTATAAACTGTTATCTAAGTCAATAGAACATATAAAAAAAATCAAATGTATGACCATTGGGACTGAAAATAATAGCCTACTAAATCTCCAGTAGCCTACCTGTACTCACTGGCTTAGCAACAATTGTATACCATTCTATAAACATATATGTATATAATTGTATAAACATGTTTCTCTGTCCAAAAAAATAATGTTATGTTAATCAACCCCTATGATAAGAGACTTAAATGTACAAAAGTAATTTGGAATCAGACCAGAAATATAAACCTTATGACATTATGATTATTGATACTCAAACAACCATAATATAATGCTACATCATAACATACGGTAGATCATGTGAACAATTGTGTTAGGGTTTCACTATCTGGAACGTTTCAGGGCGTGATTCTGAGTCACAACGTGTCCGCTCGGCTGATCCTCATCAACCAGAGTCTAGTGCTGCAGAAGGTGACCAGACAGAGCGCTGGTAGTTATGCTTGTGTTGCGGTCAACAGTGAGGGAGACACCAACAGTAACACGCTGCACCTCCGCGTCAAGTGTTAGTAGTGTCCTGCTTCACAATTCAAAACACAAAGTTCACACTTAAACTTACTATTATTATGAATAGAAAACCGATAGGACCACTCAAAAGATCAATGACTCAATACAGGTAGACATAATATCAGGGTAGAAGGGAAAGTAAAACTTATTCAATCATTTTCATATATTTATATACATGTATTTCTTTTCAATAAAAGCTACAATCTGTAAGGCCGTGGTTAAATCCGCTTGGTCTCTGTAGCTGCTAATGTAGGTCCTTCATCTGTATTGAAAAATATTTTCTTTTGTCAACATTATCATGACAACATTCACGGTTCACAAAAGAGGAAACCCTCAAAAGCTATGAAACAGAACATGGTGAATAAACTAAACGCTATCATCATAGAGTTGGTTATAGTGCAATTTCATTGTACTAGACTTAAAATAAGACGCTATATTGATGCAAAATACTCGTACTATGTTTTGGATAAGTACATCTACTAGCTCCCTTAAAATTTTTGAGTAAATTTATTTTACAACTTGTACCTGCTAAAACAATTTAAATAAAGAAAATGTGTAGTATTTCTTATTCTACTTAAAAACTGTACCTCAATTACGAGTGTTGTAATTTTGGCATGGCCGAGCTCCGATTATTTATATCGGAATATTTGAATTGAAAAGGCTTATAGGCCAACATTTTAATTCGAGAAGTACAGCACAGTATAAAAAAACATACGTGTTGACGTTGGATATTATTATATTTACTAAAGGTAATTTTAATTAGCTTTGTGTGATTACTTTACAGACGCACCGACATGCAAGCAGGATCGTATCCTGGTGGTGGGAGCCTCGAGGTCCGAGAACCTGGACATCGTGTGTGAGGTTGATGCAGACCCGCCGGCCCGCAGCTTCAGATGGAAGTTCAACAACTCCGGGGAGACGCTGAACGTCGGTCAAGAGAGGTTCTCGTCTAACGGTACGGCAAGTGTGCTGCGCTACACGCCTGTGGCTGACCTGGACTATGGGACTCTTAGCTGCTGGGCTGACAACGCCATCGGCACACAGGCGAACCCGTGTCTCTTCCAGGTCGTCGCCGCCGGTGAGTCACAATCTGCCTATGGCCTTAGTGACGATAAATGTCCATGGATTATCAATTGGAAAATATTTTTTTCAGAATGTATAATAATAGTTTATTACTATTGGTAAGAATAGCCGCAATGTAAAATGTTTTCAATTACACAGTTCAATTTTACCCCTTCTAATTAATTGATCGATTACACGAGTTCACTGATGCCAAACTATACATTACTAAATACTAAATTATGCTGTGATTTTGATGTATTATAGATGTGTAGTTTATTGTGCACTAGCAGTAATTTGAATATAAAATTGTAAATATACCTTTGTTCATAATATCAAACTATATGTTGCTAGTTTTTAAGCATAACATTTCCAAATCCACATTTACGGTTCAAATACAATCGGAATCTTTAACATTGAATGCAGTATGACATGTACGATACTTTGTAGACTGAAGAAAAGTTGCAAAATAAAACGTTAGCCAATAGTATGAAGAGTTGGTGAACAAACATAAAGGAATTTCTAATGAGGACTGACAATTAACCCAGATTCACTGGTACAATGCAGCTCGCTATAACATCCCCCTAACGAGGCTTTTGTACAACAATAAAATACGTCCGCAGTATACAGAGTTGTCGTGCAACGCCAGTAATGCATTAACATTTACTGTGCCCCATTATAGAAACATAATACACAACAGCGTATTTGCTGCTTTTGTTTACCAAGCGGGTAGATTCTGCGATTTATTTACGAGACAATTAGTCACTTTAAATGCTTTAACACGCATGGGATGGAAACATTGGTTTTTATTTTCGTATATTTTTTTGTCAGTTTTCCTGTTAATTTAATCTTACTAATATTATAAATGTGAAAGTTTGTGTGTTTGTTTGTTTGTTTGTTTGTTTGTTTGTTTGTTTGAAGTTCAATCACGCATTAATTACTGGATGGATTGGGCTCAAATTTGGCATGATGATAGCTCACATTCCCGATTAACATATAGGCATATTTTTATCTCAAAAATCCTTTCGGACTCCGCCCTAGTGGCTCTAGTTTTTCCCATGTTAACCTTAAGAGTACTCATATTTAAATGGAATTAAAGAATTTAGTCAGCTGTTTCAACTAAAAAGGTTGGTTCTATGATATGCAAAGGCATTAAAAGTTATAAGATTTACCAACAGGTTGCAGCACTATTATTTTTTTTCATTTATGAAAACAGATAATTTGAACTAAGCAGCAACAATAGCTGTGATACACAATGATAACTGTCTGTTTACAGTTATGTTTATGTTTTTAATTTCACGAATAATTTGTGATATTTTGTGAATCTTTAATAATTTTTTTTCCTATTGTTTGGGTGAAGTGGTAGAACATTATGGCTATGGTAGATGTGTAATACTATAGTATACCGTAAATTTAAAGAAGCAAATTGTATCATACTTTGTCCTCCCTCATTGCAAACGCTAAGCTTGAGTATAACTGTACTAAGCATTTTATACTTATATGCCACTCCCGTACGAAGGACGGGTACTCTGCTAGTAAATTATAATTACAGAATTATGTTTGTCTTTATTCAATAATTTGAATTACTGTATTTTATACCTAGGACCAAAAATGTTTTATGAGTTTTGTTCTATGGATAGCTGCTAAACCTTTTCGAGCTGTGGTACGAACGCCATGCTTCACCACACTATAAACAATTTTGCTCGTATACAACGAATGCACACGAACAGTCGACACAACTACAACCTTAGGGTTATGAGAAGACAGAGGTTATTTTGAGAAATCAGCAAATATAATAATAAATAATTGCTAAGTAGTGACAATAAAACTAGTTTATTGCAACGCATATGGATACTGCTTGTGTTTTAATAAAAATAAAAATAAATAAATAAATAAAAAACTATACCCCATACTTTAGTTAAATTGTATACGTTATAAGACTTTCTATGTAGCTTAAACTTTGGTTTAATCTGACACTTTTGTTTGCATCACAGGCAAGCCATTTGCAGTACGTAACTGCTCGCTCTCCAACCAGACGGCCAGCTCTGTGGAGGTCAGCTGTTTTGCCGGGTTCGACGGAGGACTTCCTCAGACATTTCTATTGGAATTGTACTCTGGTGACTCTGCAGTGCCTCGCTACAACATTTCCTCGGACACGCCGTACTTTCTGCTGGCGGACCTAGAGCCAGACGTGCTCTTCCGTGTTGTCGTCTTTGCTGTCAACTCCAAAGGCCGTTCTCCTGGCATCGTACTTGAAGAGCTCACATTTAGGGATCCGGAAAAAAGAACAGGTAAATTAGTTTTGTATTTATGAGTGCGAGGACAATATAAAACTCTTGTGAATCAAAATATCATGACTTATCAAGGTTAAGTGTGCAAAATACCTCTATTGTACCTTAATGTTTAGTTTTCATTTACTTTCATCGTAAAAAAATCTGAAGTAACTAGCTCATTTTAGAGATTACCGCATCACTGATGATTTGAAAATCATTTGCATAAAAGTGAGGATCCGCACATTTTCCTTATTCACGCCCATATTCTAATTACATACATACATGTTCACAGGCAGTGACGCGGACGAGTCATTATCCTCCGTAGTAGCTGTAGTAGCAGGAGCAGCTGCGACGTTGCTGCTGGTGATGGTGTGTGTATTAGTGAGAATCCGAAACTCGTCCTCCAACCACGATCATCGCCTTATGTCAGAAAAGGTCACTCTTCCACCTGTTGAGAAGCCCGCCAACAGGGAGCCACCGGATGAGAAAGATCCAGACGTAATCCCAGCAAAATTTGGTAATCATTTATAACTTCCGTAATTTTAGTTCTAGAATTCATTGTGGTGGTCAATTCATGGATTCGGAATGTGTTAATTCTAATAAAACTATCCTAAAAGTTTGTAATGGACTATTTTCCCTTGTATATATGGCTTTCAGAGCATTTGAATTTAGAGACGAACTTCAAAGGCTAATCCCCTTTATTCAAAATAACGTAGCTTGAAGAGTATTCAATTTGCTATGGCATTTAGAAGTCGTATTAGATCTACAGTATGTTTGCCTTAAAATAATAGGTACTATTCAGTACTAGAATTTGAAAAAACCATGGTTCAGGTACATTCGGAGTAGGTTCTTTTGGAACTATGTTCATCCGAGTGATGGTTAGAATTATTTATACCTTTATCCCTTAGGAATGAAGGATTACCAAAACAGCAATACCCTAATTCTTATTTTTTATAATATGGTTTTATGATTTTCTGACATCAGATTTATATAATATGATTCACATTTGCTGTGTTTATTTAGTTTACGGTTCATGTTTTCTTTTTTACGAAAAAACATAGAGAAGCCATAAATAACAATATCACGAACGCAGTAACAGAATTATGTGAAGATCGGAGTTCCCGGAAATGAAGAATGTTATAAGTGGTTAGCCATAAAGCCCTCTTAACAGTTCATTTAATTTTATGAGACTACCGGTAACCTCTTCCCAAAATTCTGTAATAGGCCCCTTTAAATATATTTTTTAAACATTAAAATTCCACCGTTTGATTAGCGGTAGACATATATCTTTCATTATTGGTTTCCAGTGTATTTTAATCCATTATTTGTTTATTTATCATCCACATTTACAACTAAGATTTTATTTTATTCCGCAAAGTATATTCTTTTAGCACACATAAAAAAAACGAGAATATATTTAAAGTGAATCTGATAACTAACTTTTCAGTTATCCACTTTGCATTTATATGTCAAGAATTATTAAGTGATAAAATGGAAGAATTACCTTATCCAACCACAGTTGCTAGTATAACAACTAGTTTCGTTCCTTATAACATCGTCAGGTCATTGTATGCAACCACATCTTCAATGTATAAATACATTGTGGTATGTCAAAAGATTCATTAAAACACTGTCAGATTCACAATAGTAAATACCCCCGCCACAGCAAACCTGCCGACTAAGCGAATTTCCATTTGTCTGAATTGATTTTCAGTTAAATATATTTTATAACATTAGGTTTAACGAGTACCTAGGTTTGCTGCTACAAGGAAACTAATAAAGTGTGTTTTTGAGTAAAATATTGATAGCTTAGTACAAAATAAATAAATTTGCCAAGTTTGATAAAAATATATCCATAAACAAGCAAACTACAACATTTGACAATATTCTCCATAAGAATAACATGGGAATTTTAAATTTACAATTTTTTTAATTTTCTCCGTTACTAATAATCGAACAAAAATACTTTTATATACTAAATTATTTGTTTTTTTAAGCTCTTTAAAAAGGTCTAAAGAGAAATCGGGAAATTTTGTGTTTTGAGGGTCAAAAGTGAGAAAACCCAATTTTTACCCCATAAAACCCCCCGTAAAGCCCCGTTCCCATGGTCCGATCGTGCTGGTTCGCGAACTCATTCAAGTTTATCCCGCTTTACACCTTTAAACCAAATTTCATCAAAATCGGACAAAAATTACTCAAGTTATCGCGTTCACGGACGTATATATATATATATATATATATATATAAGTCTATATATATATACATATATAAAAATTTGAACGAATGGTGTTTTTGGCCTCTGGGGACATCAAAATGAAAAAGTAAATCGGTCCCGGGTCTAGGTCTTACCGTGCCACCTACGGTAATAGCTACTTCCCTATAGGGAAATTCGCTAAAACTAGTCATGTTGATCAAATTATTAAAATTGAATAAAAAGTGATAAAATTGGTTAAAACTGTAAAGGCTGGCCAGCACTCTTTTATCACTGAATGACTAGTTTTTACTATTGTGAATCTGACAGTGTTTTAAAGAATCTTTTGACATACCACAATGTATTTAGGCCTATACATTGAAGATGTGGTTGCATATGTTACACTCAATCTCCGAATTCGGACAATGTCCGAAATTTCTACCCACTCCGCGATGTGGATAGTGTGAAATACCCACGTCGCGGAGTGAGCATTTTATTCGGACATTGGCCGAAGTGAAATGCCCAGACCGCGTTGTGGGTAAATTGATTTACTCAAATGCCGAAGTCACAACGTTCTTCGGCGAGTGAGTAAATCCAAAATACCCACAACGCGATGTGAGCAAGATGTATTGCCCACGTCGCGTTGTGGGTATTTCTAGTTTAGGCAAACGCCGAATTCACGTTCAGACATTTCACCCCCACCATTTGCACTATTTGCGATTAGGATGGATGGACCTGCACGTGCATTGTGTTTTCTTTACTGTTGCTGCCCTGTAGTGATACGCTAGTGATGGACAGTCCTTATCATCGAAAGATTATCGCCGAATCAACCGCTTCGATGTCATAAACATTGATGACAAAGAAATTTTAATTGTAAAAACAACTGGTGAAATGACAGATATAAAATATTTTTGTCACATTGATCAAATGTATGACACAATTCATCAGCTCAATTGCGAGTTGGTCTTAAGAAAGAGAAAGCTATGGAAGTAGAGCTTAAAAAGAAATTTTGCAAGATTACCAGAGAGGTGATTAAAATATACTTGGATATGTTCGAACCTTGCTCACTGAAGAAAAAATCTCAAAGTAAAGGACTGGCCGTTAAACCCATCATTATTGAATTCACGATGTCAGGTAAGATTAGTTTTAACTTTTAAATCCTTTCGCTAAATTAGAGTGACTTTAGAATAATGTGTCAATAAGTAAAAGAAAGATGTAACAAGAACTGTGTGATAATCGGTGTTTTAAAGTTACTCCTATTTTTGTAAATCGGAAAAACGTATTCTCAATGTATGTGTAATGGACCTTTTTATATTTGTTCCTATTCGGTGATTTGCTGTTTATTTTCTAAAATGCTATTTTATACATTAAATAATTATAATCAAAACATAAATTTTATTTATTTTACCTAGTGATTGTGGATTTCATGTAGATTTTTGGGTATACGGTAGTTTATGCAGGCTATTCGGCGTTTGCGCAAACTAGAAATATCCACTACCCGACGTGGGCAATCATTCTTGCTCACATCGCGTTGTGGGTATTTTGAATTTGCTCAATGGCCGAAGAAGGTTTTGACTTCGGTGTTTGAGTAAATCAGTTTACCCACAACGCGGTCTGGGCATTTCGTTTCGGCCAATGTCCGAAATAAAATGCCCACTCCGCGACGTGGGTATTTCACACTATCCACATCGCGGAGTGGGTAGAAATTTCGGACATTGTCCGAATTCGGAGATTGAGTGTAACACATACAATGACCTGACGATGTTCTAGGGAACGAAACTAGTTGTCATACTAGCAACTGTGGTTGGATAAGGTAATTCTTCAATTTTATCAATTATATATTCCAACCAAGGGTCACAATGAATAACAATTATTAAGTATCTTGATTAGGTTATAAAACTTATAACAATGCGGTTATTATTTAATATGCTTAAAATAAATTGTGTTACATTTAAAGCAAATGAACGCAAAATAGGAGATATAGTCCATTATTAAAATGTAACACATAGCATTCTGTATTTGTACCAAACTATTAACTGCTAAGAGTTTTTTTTTTTTGTTTTTTTATATATATATAGAATAAAACTATGTAATTCGAGGTATTTGATTCCATTTCGGTGATTTGTCTATTATCTACTCTTGAAAATGTCCGTTATTACTGGTGTAATCACTAATCAGTCTTCAAATAATTTGAAGATGAAAATGAAACAGTAAAATCGGTGAGGATTTTAATTAGATAGAACTATTATATTACTTAGGTACGGTTACTAAACTTTGAAATGCAATATGAAATGTTGGGGTAAGGAATATTTGTGATGAAATACCACGGAATATTTAACAGGGTTTAGTTAGTGCTCATTAAAGTAGAAATAAAGTGAGCAACGTAATAGATTGTACTACAAGATGTAAAGTGGTATTCCACTTCAACCCAGCTTCCCTTTGCATTATTCAGTACCACTAACTGTAAAAGCTCTACAAAACCTTGTTTCTTTACAAAAGTAGTAATTTTTATATACTACAACGCCCTGCAATGCGGTAACACGAATTTCATTTAAATAAAATACAATGTTTCTCATGCCTATCTCTTACTAATTATTTTTGTATTATTTCGTGTCCAAACGAAATAATTTAAAATAGTAATAAGATCTTTCGTTATCTAATTATATGGTACTTAATATTCACAAAAGAAATTAACAACACCACCTTGTTTTATTAAGTAGTGGTTCCACCAATAACCTGTTGCTGTTTGACTTGAATGCTTATTTGGACGTGTTTTGTTCCGTATATAACGTCTGATATATAAAGTATAATAATATGGTCAAAACGTTTTTCTCGTAGATGCATTCAATTTATACAATCCAACTATGGCCAATTTATTGGATTTATAATGAAAATATGTGCATAGTGATGAAGTTTATTAAGCTTACATGTTTTTCAATAACTATGACACCGTTCTTTGTCTACAGACCCGGTCGGTGTGATTGGGAATGGAACGGTAATTAGAAACCCCCAAGATCCAGCGGAGACAGATATGAACGACCCTCTTCATTGGCGCCAGGCACCGGTATGTTCACTGTTCAGTGGAGAAATCACTATATCAACTCTACTAAAACACATAGAAGTCACTAATGTCAATAGTAACATTCAATGCTGGTTAAGCTCAGGGAGTAGGAGGAGAAGAATAAATTCAATATTTAGGTTTAAACTCCAGGCTATATTTGATTGGTTAAGTAAAAAAAATTACAACCATCCTTTAAAAATGGTTTGCAGATGATTTAAAAACATTCTTATCAGCATTTGACAAGCTTAAACCCCTATTTAAGACATAAAAGATAATATTAGGTATAAAAATAAAAAGTTATACGAAGACACGCATTGGAGAAAAGGGATATAAGTGATAATTTTCATTTGTCTAGTTGCTAAATTAATTCAAATAGACAACACTAATTATAAATTTAGGTTAGTATCTACCTTCAACCCGGTTAGATTTCCTTTTAATTAGGTGAAATAAATAATAATATCTTACAATTTCAACCTTTTTTAAGAACTTTCTATACATAAAAGCAACAAAGACTACTTTGAACAACATAAGCTTTTTCATTTGTATCACTATGATGATCTATACCTAACGCACCCACGACTTTCTTGAACATAATACTTCGTGCTTAATCTCATTTGCAATGTTTTTACTATATCAAAATGTTAGCATCGATTGATTTGACCGATGTTATTTTTATGGAATGTCATACCTTATGGTTAAAAAACTTTTTTTATGTTAAAATTTTTGACAATTCATTGGAGGAAGTTCAGGCACTCCTTATGAAAGTGATGTAAGTATGGGCGTGCATTGCATCTCATTTGCAATGTTTTACTTTATCCATGTTTGCCTCCTGGATTGAATACCAGTGATACCAGTGAGTGGGTTGAATACCTGGATTGAGTCAGTGTACCGGTCCGCACAACGATGTAATCACTTTTGTTTAGGCCGGCCAAAAAGTATAATTTTTCAATGTTACGTGTAAATATAAATGTTTCGTGTGTCAGTGTATGTGTATATGTGTAAGTAGTGGCGAACTACGGGTTTAACGCCACTTGGGGCACGTTTTCCCATAAGAAATAACATGGGATCATTTTTTGGCCACTAAAACCAAAAATCCTGATCTTTGCCTATACATCCCCTATACTACTGTACAACTCCATTAACATTACAAATCAACATATATTTTCAAATCATGTGAGATTTGCAGCAGAACTCAAGCGCGCTCCCGGCCCACGCTTCTCATCTCCAGCGGTGTGTAGTAGTATAGTAGTGTAAAAACGCTATTCACTGGAGGATCAGGCGGTGCAACCCCCAATTGTACCATAGCACCCCATCATGTGTACACAATATTTTACTCACGATGTTTCACCTGTTTTGGATTGAATATATATTTTTGTGTGTAAAAACACTATTAACTGTATCAGGAGCAACACCGTGTATTTTTTTAGTAGTATAGTTTGTCGCCGCCGTTTTTTGGGGTGCGTCGTTTTTGGGCCAACTCCCCGCCTCACGCCTAATTGCTAGTACATCTACCATTCCCCTTTCTAGTTGTTCTATTGACTGATTTGATATGTTGTAGTCTATATTTCTGTCTTATCTATATATATTAGTCGTATGAGTTGTTTAATATTTGCATTTCTTTGTCTTTTGAGATATACCTCTTAAACTTGCTCTTGGGCCTATACAAGCCTATATAAATGTACAACTCCATATCTATATTGTATAATTTCAAATCCATATCCATTCACATGTATATTCTCAAAATCATCAACTTGACAGTGCGAGGTTTGTACGCGAACTCGTGCGCGCTCCCGACTCATGGCGTGCTCCCTTGGACATCCTTAGTGGAAATCCATGAATTCTGGCTACTTGGGAACCCAAGCCATTTGACATATAATAAATCACCTTTTCTCCTAATAACCTTTTCTATCAAATACATGTCTTTATACTTGGTCTTTAACAACTCCACTGTATAGAAGCCTCCCCGGATTATATTACCATTTTCATCTTTCAAGATATAAGTCACAGGCTTTGTATTCTTTACTTCTGCTATTGTAAATAGTTCCCCTGTCCAATTCAGAGTATAACCTTTACTAAAAACATGTTTATACTTGGAAATCCTCACACTATCACCTACCTTATATCTTGGCTTTTTAACTTGCACTACTTTAGAAGTCAACCTCTCATGCACATATTTACTGTTCTTAATACTCACTTGGTTAGGCTTCATACCTATAGATCTATGCACTTTATTATTATATTTTCGAATTAACTTTGGAAGTAAATCCAACCATTTATAACTCCCCTGAGCACTAAATTCCCTATATAACCAATTCTTTAAAGTTCTCTGAAACCTCTCCACAATTGCAGCCTTAGTTGTAGAAAACGTGTGATAGTGATTAATATTTAATATTTTCATTAGCTTGCTAAAATATTGATTAAACAATTCTTTTCCATTGTCAGATTGAATGTTTTTAACCCCCTTTGGTAGAATGGTTTTAATGGCTTCTGTAACCACCAAACCTGTCTTATTCTTTAGTGGAGCAGCATAAGCTTTTTTAGAAAATGTATCTATTAAAGTTAAAATATATTTATTTCCAGAATTTTCTCTAGCATAGTTTTGCATATCAATTAAATCTATTTGTACAGTTTCGTTTATACCTAATACTTTAAAAGACCTTCTAATGAAATTCTTTCTTGCAGGCTTATGAAGTTCGTATGCAATTTTATTCATTTTTTATAACATCACTCTTTCCTTGTACTGTAAATATATTACCATTAGCCCCAATCAATAGCTTATCTTCCATTCTTTTAAATACATAGTTTTCTGGTATATATGGTCTATTATCTATATACTTAAATCCACTCAAAGATGTAGGGTCGGCAACTAATAAATCAGGATTGTATTCCATCAAATTAAATTTTCTTCCTGCATATACAAATTTTGATCCATCATAATACATAGCTTGTGACATTAAACAAATATCATCTAAATATTCCCCCATTGGTAGATTTCTTATAAATTGTTTTTTGGCATCCCAACATTTTTCTTTTTTATCAAAAGTTATAGTCTGTTCTTTTGTAACACAGTCAGTGTCATCAATGGCAGGTTTAACACATACTAACCTTTTATTATTAAAATCCCAATAGCCTGCTTCCATTTTTGGAACTTGTGAAACATTCACAGCATCTTTACTATCTGTACCTTCCATCAAATCGCTAAGTTTCTGTTTCTTAGCATTCCAAACACCATTCTCTGATTCTAAAAATTCATAATTATTATCGTTTTGTACAAATTTACCATCTTCTTTTCGTATTAAAGTCTGTTGTAAAGTGGGCACATCATTTAAACTTTCACCCTTTTCCACATTAGTAATTTTCCGTTTCTTAGCATTCCAAACACCATTTTATAATTCTAAAAATTCATAATTATTATTGTCTTGTACAAATATACCACCGTCTTTTCGTATTAAAGTCTGTTGTAAAGTGGGCACATCATCTAAACTTTCACCCTTTTCCACATTAGTAATTTTCTGTTTTTTAGCATTCCAATTTTTATTCTTAGATTCTAAAAACTCATATTTAGTTTTACCTTGTAAAAAGACATCACCTTTTCTAGTTAATGTCTGACCCAAAGTTGATACATCATCTACAAACTCTCCATCTTTAACATTACCAATTTTACGGTTTAAACAATTCCAACTATCGTCTTGTAAATTCAAAGTAGGTTCACTACTAGCCCTGGGTTCTGCAGGCTTATTATATGGATTATATAAACGATAAAATTTATCTATAAACATATTTTTATTTAATAAATAATACCACTTTCTCTCAATTCCTCAATAATGGAATCTATTTCATTATCCACTCCTGAGTTACCGGCTTGGCGACTTAGCCAAAGAAGTCTTAACCTATCTACAAGCTCATTAGGATCATCCCAATAAATATAGTCTATTTTATTACCAGTCACTTGTCTCAAACCTTCACCAACAGATTTAAATAGAGGTTTAATTATATTAAGATATTTAGTATGTCTATTACTTGAAATTGGTGCACCATCTTTGTAACTCTTTAAATGCCCATTTGTAGCTTCCAAAATTTCTTTATAATTTTGCAAATCAGCCGGAGTATAATCCTCAGGTTCTTTTAAAGTTAACAACTGCCACAAGCCTTTTGTCCCCTTGTAAGTTTTATTTGCAACTGTAACATCATCATTGGCAATATCAACTTCCTTATTTCCAATAAAAAATTTATTTGCTTCTCGTCTAATACCATATGTAGTGTCTGTCATACTACTTTTACTGAGGTAATTTCCTAAATAGTCTGATGCTAAAAGACCAAAATCTAATTTCTGTGGAGTGGATTGCTGTATTGGTTGTAATCTTGGTATCATTGATATTCTAGATGGAGTCATTGGGAGTATCTACATTTGAGACTTCTCTGATGTGATTTTCTTTAATTCTTGTAATGGCTCTATTAAAGGTTGGAATGTTTGGAACCTCTCTTCAGCCTCTAGAAACTTGCCACGTTTTAAAGCTCTATATTTCTCTCGTATTTGATTTGCAGAGTCAACCAATTCTTGTTGAATGTTTTTCATCTTTTATTTACATTTTATTTATCTCATTTGACAAAGGATTGTACTCAAACACTTTATCATGTATTATCAAACAATATGCAGATGTATTTGCTGGTACATTTTCTGCAGTTTCAATCTCTAATTTAATATCAACAATTCCTTCCTTCACTGTTTCGTTCTGTCTAGAACAGTCTATTACAATTAGTGGATATTTCTTCATAAACTCAGCCCTACTAATCATAGGATCTGGGATAGTATTATAGTAAGTCTCTCTAAACCTCATAAACATCTCATAAGCTTTAGAGACATCTCCATTTTCAAAGTCGAGATTTAAATCACTATAAGGATAATATTCAGAGTTTAGAAATACTTTGAGATTTTTTAATTTACAGTGATCAAATTCATCAGTTCTTTTTCGTGCACTATTATCACTAGCTGTTTGAAAACC